GACCGTGTATCCGCGGTCAGATCCTTTTAAGGTTTCGTAGATTTTTAGAATCGGTTTTTTGAGCGTTTGAACGCATTTGGAAGCTTTTGGACACCTACGAAACCTTTTTGGAGGGTCCAGGAAAGTATCTATTTGTTTTACAGTGCACTCACACCCCACACCCACACGCACTTACAACCACATCCAAACCCACACTTCGCACCCACACCACACCCACACTTACACACCACCCCACACCCACACCCACACCCACACCCACCCACACCGAACACCCACATCCACACCCCATAATGAGGGTGGGCGTGGATGTGAGCGTCAATGTGAGCGTGGATGTGAGCGTGGATGTGAGCGTGTATTTTCTTTTCACGTACAGCAACATCGACTGCCACACACCATCCAAGGCGATGACACTCAAGTGGTTGTGGAGACAATAACTAAAGAAAACTTGAAAAGACTAATAATCCCATGAACGATGTTGTAGGGCTTTTTCTACTTTGTTTATTGTTCACAGTTATATTCTCAATTTAAGCTAGGTAGAGTTTACTGAGTGTCAACGAATAAAAACACTTACATGTGAAATCGTAAGTCTAGAAAAAAGCAGAATACAGCAGCTTTATAAATGAACAGCGTGATTTCTGTTCAAACCATCGTAGATTACTCACAATTGTAGATTATCAATTAAGCGACATAGCATATACGATATGAGTGGACACATGTTCAAAACAACAGTTTCTACGTCACCAATAGATGCCATTACAACTTCAAGAACATCTTCAAATACCATTGAAGCAAAACAACACCGAGTTCAAGATTATTCGTTGATCTGGATAGACGGCAACATTGATGTGGCAAATAAGAATTGTCAAAATGCGCTTGCGCAATTACGCAATGTCATTAATGACGTCCATACTTTCACCCAATCGGATGAATGCGTTGACTTTCTCACTGAAGTCGATGACAGAAAGGTGTTCCTCGTTGTAGCAAGTACTATGAGCCAACCAATAATACCTCTGATACATGACATTGCGCATCTTGACTGCATTTACATCTTTTCTGAGAATGAAACACAACACAAAGAATGGGCAACAAACTTGCCAAAAATTCAAGGTATCTTTACAGAAATTGCACAAATTTGCGATTCATTACAAAAAGTCGCTCGTCAATGCGATCACGACGCAATGCCGATGAGTTTCGTTCCACAAGAGATGATGCTAACAACAGCAGCATCTGCCGAGCGCAATCTTGACCAATTGGAGCCGTCTTTTATGTATTCGACATTATTCAAAGAAATTTTATTGGAAATCGAGGAAGACGACGCTAAGTCGATGAGTGACCTTGTCGCCTATTGCAGTAACAAAGGTGTTCCAGAATCACAATTAAAGGGATTTCAGGATAGATACCACGATAAATCGCCAGTCTGGTGGTATACTCGGCAAATTTTTCTCTACGGCATGCTGAATTGTGCCCTACGGTCACTTGACATGGAGGCCATGACAAAAATGGGTTTCTTCATCCGCTCCCTCCATCGACAATTAGAAAAACTTCATCGAGAACAATCGGGTGCCTCTATGACAAAGCTCATCGTTTATCGAGGTCAGGGGCTTTCACAACAGGATTTTAAACATTTAGTCGACTCGAAAGGTGGACTTCTCTCGTTCAATAATTTCTTGTCGACCAGTAAAAAAGAACAGGTCGCTAAGGGATTTGTTCAACGTACCATGCGCAAGAATAAAGACATCGTGGGTGTCCTTTTCATTATGACAATTCATTCAAGTAAAATTTCAGCTTCAACTACACCATTTGCCCTCATCGACGAATACAGTGCCATCGAAAGTGAAAAAGAAATTCTATTCTCAATGCACACTGTTTTTCGTGTCGATGATATCAAACAGGCAGTCAGCAGCAATTGTCTATGGGAAGTTCAATTAAGTCTCACAGGCGACAATGATCCACAATTGGCTACTCTTACTGAACGCATAAAAGGGGAACTCTTTGGATCCACAGGATGGCATCGATTGGGTGATCTAATGCTCAAAGTGGGTCACTTAAATCAAGCTGAAGAACTTTACAATGAACTACTGAACAACTCGTCCAGCGACAGTGATAGAGCACATATATATCATATGCTTGGGTTTTTGAAAGACGATCAAGGACAATACAAAGAAGCAGTTTCATTTTATGAAAAATCACTTGAAATCGAGCGAAAAACTCTTCCGGAAGATCATTCTTCATTGGATTCTACCTACAACAACATCGGTGCAGCGTATGACAACATGGGTAACTACACGAAAGCACTTGAATTTTACGACAAATCACTTAAAATACTCGAAAAATCTCTGCCTCCGAATCATCCCAATTTGGCTAGTTCCTACAACAACATCGGTGGAGTGTATGACAACATGGGTAACTACTCGAAAGCACTTGAATTTTACGATAAAGCACTTAAAATCTACGAAAAATCTCTGCCTCCGAATCATCCCTTATTGGCTACTTCCTACAACAACATCGGTGGAGTGTATGCCAACATGGGTAACTACTCGAAAGCACTTGAATTTTACGACAAATCACATAAAATCTACGAAAAATCTCTGCCTCCAAATCATCCCTTATTGGCTACTTCCTACAACAACATCGGTACAGTGTATAGAAACATGGGTAACTACTCGAAAGCACTTGAATTTTACGACAAATCACA